TCTTTCGATATTCGAACAATGTCAGCAACTGAACGACCTTTAACATACGTAGTTTGGTTCTTGTCAATAACTAATATATATTTAAGATATATTTCATTTGGGTGTAGTCAACCCGCTTTTTACTTGAGGGTTTTTAGCATAGCAGGCAGCTTATTCTGCCACACAAATTCAGAGGGAGGGAAGCAAATTTGTTCCAGCAGAGCGTGGAAGAGACATACAGAGCAATGGCCTACGTACCCCTTTTCGACATTGTTTTATGGAGCCAATTTATAACTAATTATTATTTACTTTTAAAAGAAATTCATGATGCTTTCTGTATTTCTATTTGATTAAACATCGTGTATTTGAAGCTAATTGAGACTTTCGCGTTAATGACGTCCGCGTTAGGTTTTTTTAAATAATTAATACATTGCACATTCATAATCTCCTATATATTATCTGTATTGTTGCATCTATGTATATTTAGTATTATGTCAACGATACAGACAGGAATCATTTGAGTAATATATTTGTTTTGAAATTAAATACTGAACACTGCATTTATATTGCTGATTCGAATGTTCCTTTATTCTTGGGTGGTTAAAGCTGCCTTTATATTATAAATATTTATTACTTAATTCTAAATGACTGACAGATATTTGATATTTGGAGGAGAACAATCCCGGTAGACAATCTCTATACATTATATTAAAACAAGATTGAACTATAGGTTAGTAAAAGAAAAATTGGAACGAATATATACTTTTGAATCCAAAGTTGCAGGCGTTCGGGCTAGACTGTCCCGTTTAATCTCAATAAACGGGACGAGAGTACTAAACAAAGAAAATTATATTTTGAAAGAAACAATGAAATTTTACAGTTCGTTTTATATTAATGAAAAACTAAATTGTAAGCTTATTATTAAAGAATTATGTGCCCTCATAAAATATACCACTTCTAAATAGCGATGATAGAAATTCATGTGAAGGTCTGATGACAGTTGCCGAATGTAAACATACAATTTTATCTACTAAAAAATGAAACACCTAGGTCTGAAGAAATCTCTGTAGAATGTTATCACAATTTTTTGGAACGACCTAAATCACATTCTCGTGGATGCCATGAATGAGTGTTATGCTAATGAAACTATTTCTTTTTGTACAATATTTATAAAGTATATACATTAAAATTAACCAAAAAATATAGAATTCATTCCAAAATGTTTCAGGCCTTGTGTTAGGCCCTTAGATGGATGTCTAGGGGAACCTTTGAGTAGTCGACCGGAGTTTGAGGGAGAGTGCAACCCAGATTTCACCGGGTTTGATTTTTCTGGTACTTTTCCAAAGTCAAATTTGCTCTTTATTAGTCTCAATAATATTATTCAGTCTATTTCTATCCTTACAATTTATATAAGAATAAACATTAAATTTGTCTGAAAATATTAAAGTCATTCTAAGAATGTTCAGGCTTAGCGGCCCTTTGCTAGATTTCTAGGGGAACCTTTGAGTGGTCCCCCGGAGTTTGGGGGAGAATGCAACCCAGGTTTCGCGTCGATCTCTCGGTACTTTTCCAAAGTCAAATTCGCTCTTTTTTACTCTCACTAATTTCGTTCAGTCTATTTCTATCTGTACAATTTATATAAGAATAAACATTAAATTTGTCTGAAAATGGCAAAGTCATTCTAAGAATGTTCAGGCTTAGCGGCCCTTTGTTAGATTTCTAGGGGAACCTCTAAGTGGTCCCCGGCGTTTGGGGGAGAATGCAACCCAGGTTTCGCGTCGATCTTTTGGTACTTTTCCAAAGTCAAATTCGCTCTTTTTTACTCTCACTGATTTCGTTCAGTCTATTTCTTTCTGTACAATGCATATAAAGTATTTACATCAAATTTAACTGAAACATATAAAAGTCATTCTAAAATGTTTCAGGCATTGGGTAGGCCCTAAGCTAGATTTCTATAGGGGAACCTTTAAGTGGTCCCCCGGAGTTTGGGGAATAGTGCAACCCAGGATTTGGGACAACATAATTTTTGTAAATTCAGTTTTTAAAATCACCGTGTCTAATTATCTGCTCCATCTAATATTCTACTTATTAGTATTGGTATAACTCCAGCGTGACAGCATGGATATCCAATTCTCACATTATCATGCATTTACTCTTTAATTTTAAAAGATTTTTATATTGATGTAAAGTTTAATCTGTGGAAAGTTTTCCTCTAAATACACAAACGAAAACTATTTAATTTTGAAACCTATGATAAATGGAATTAGGGTGAGACTCTCCGCCCGGTGTCTATTGTGATACTTTTTTTAATTCGCTCTCCTGATTGGCTCATCTTGAATTTTTATTTTGTAACTAAGCGGGTGTAATTTATTATTTGTCAGTGCTTTCATGAGCCGTGAATCCGTTCATTTGGATAGGGGGGGGGGGGCGAAAACTGAGCGTGACAGACAGGACAAGCAAAGTGTGCAGGCATTGAGACAATTACATAATAAAATGTTTATAAATAACACAATTTAAAGGTACTTTGTCCTATTTGCAGCCAACATCAAATTCTGTAGAACTTTGCCGAAATTATGAATATGTCACGTATGTCCTATCTGCGAATTTAAAGGTTAACAGTCTGTGTCCTAATATTCAAATTATGCAAGGAAATCCTTTTCTTTTTAGACTTCACTGTCAGACACTATTTAGTGACTGACTGACTTCTTTTTTATCTTTGAAACCTAAAATGAACCACAGCATTACCCGAGTGTTATCAGCTGTGCGGTACGATTCTTTCGTTCCTTCCATTTCCATTGATACAGAATATATTGCGAATGTCTCAATCAAAGTGTCTATCGGCTCAACCAGACTTATGATACTTATGATACTTATGTGATTTGTGGCACACATGAGGATTAATTTTTCACTCGTTCGTATAATTTTACAGTTGAAAGGGTGATCAACTATTATCATAAGTCAAAACTATATTAGTTTTCCCAAAACGCTTCAAGTTCAAGATAAAAACAATTGGTAAGATAATAATACATATAGATCTAAATCCTATTTGTGATGATTCAAAAAGACATCAACATTATTAAGAATGGCAAAAGTGATTTTACCTGACTGCTATAGGAAAGCAAGTATACAAGTAAGCAACAAAGGGGACCTACGCTTTAAATCCTATCCGATGGCCTTGATTAATATATGCCTTACCAAATGGCACTAAAGCATCGACTTTGTTTCGAACGGTGGACCTGCCGGTTACGCAATTACGACACCACTGTCTACCGTCTAAGCTGTCACACCCCCTATATGTATGTAAGGGATTCTTGGAAGATTTTATGGATCTTTTGCATCCATCTTCCGGCTTCCATAACTGTTTAATTTATTATTAAAATATCAATGCAAGATATTATTTTCAGCAATTTTTTTCCATTTATGATGTTTATACATAAAAGGGTTTTCATGAAATAGATTCAAGGTTTATTAAAGGATTATAGTGCGCATAAATATAAATGCTATGTCTCAAACTTCAAACAAAATAATGCCAGGTTCTAATACTGTACAAAAAACATAACATTTGGGGTTTGTTTCCTAATTTCTGTATCGCTCATTATATGAAATTGTTAATATTTTGAAATTGTGAAATCACATGGCTATCTCTTGGGTGATGGACCACATCGGGCGCTACATAAACATATTTTTACGATACTATATGTACCACCCTAAACAAAATTCTTCTGTATTGTGTATTTTCACATTACAAGTAGAAATGTCTTTTGTATTCATCTTAATAAGCTATAAATGAAGGGGAAAGGCAATCTACACGTATTTAAATAAAATACACCTGCAAGAAGCTCTCCTGTTTGTTTTGTACTTAAAAAAAAAAATCTTATTCCTGGAGCCTTGATTTGTTGTCTTTCTCGCTTTCCTTATGTTGTCTCTTTATTCTCTTTTTGTGTTCATTTATGGATTTCATTAATTTTACTGCCTTCACCTTCTATTTCTCCATATGCATATTTTTGTTTTTCTCTTTCTTTCTTTCCTTATATATGTTCAATGTTTTCTCTCATTTCTCTATCTCTCTTTCCTTAATTGCTTCGTTCTTTCTCTTTATGTCTTTTTTAAATTGTATTTCTTTGTCTTTCCTTCTTTCATCTTCTTTCTTTCCTGATATTGTTGTTTGTTTCCGCCTTTTTCTCTTACTATTCTTCCCTTTGTATTGCATTTTTATTTGTTTCATCTTATTTTTCTATATTTCCTCCAATATAAATGTATTTGATCTCTTTTCTTTTGAGCTTCTCTTTTATTATTTCTGTTTTGTAAATAATAATGAGCATGCGATTATAGGCTGTTGTTCACTCGTCTTTGACACTTATTCTTGACAGACAAAGTGCATATTTTCTCAAAACTTTAATGATCAGTTTCCTCATAATAAAAATGAAACCACAATAAATCATTACAAACTGTGTATCAGTAAAAATGAGGGTACTGAATCAATAGGATAAAGGTTTATTTTTCTTCAATTTTCTTCAACATTGGTCAGTTTAACAAAATTATTCCAACTTTATGATATCAGTGTTTGAAAATACCCTTTACAATTAAAAGTAAATGCATTCGGATTACTGTAGGTTGTTCGCATTTTTTTCTTCTGCACAACGCAAGTGAATATGACAATGTTTGGAAAGGTTGTACTAAAAATCCAAAGGTTGAGGGTTTGAATCGCAACCCGGCACTACTTTAGTCCTTTGGCACAAAAATCCACATTTGTCACTCTCCGCCCAGGTGTAGTTGGATACTCGATATGCTAAAGCGCTACATATCCAGATCTTTAGTCACTCCACTTTATGACGACGGGGGTAAAAATGTCGGGGCGCCAGGAGCGCCACGGTGTCACGGATATGTGCGCTAAAAAAAAATCAACGTTATTCTTATTATAGATTACCTTGAGTTTAACAATTATTGTCAAAGTACATCTTGTATAAATTATTTTGAATATGATAATATATCACGCATAGCTATTTCTCCTTTCCAGTAAGAACCTACCGATGGTTGAAACTCTATGCACATATGGCGCAGGGGTCAACGAACGCACAACAGAAGGCCTCCTCAAGACACCACTGTACATGGCAGCAGATGCGGGTGACCTTGAAATCGTCAAAAGTCTTGTCCAAAATCACGCTTCTGTAGATTTACCAAGCGACAGTGACAGTTGGTACAAGGAAAATGGTCAGACGCCTCTTCATCGTGCTGCATACAAGGGTTATCTAAACATCGTGGAGTTCCTGGTGAATGAATGTGATGCTGACGTGAACATCGTAGATACAGATGGTTCGACACCACTGCACCTAGCAGCTTTTCTTGGACGGAAGGATGTTGCCACATTTCTTACCAGTAAAGGGGCCGATGTCGACAAAGAAGATTCTTCTGGATCAACACCTCTTAACTGCGCCTCAGACAGGGGTTACTTAGCAACAGTTTCATTCCTTCTTCAGAAAGGAGCTCAGCTGGGTCAGAAAGATGCAAATGGGCTGACGGCATTGCATCGCGCAGCAAGAAAAGGCATTACTAACGTTATGAATCATCTAATGGACAATGGGGCTGACATTGAGCAGCAAGATAAGAAGGGGCGAACATCACTTCATATTGCGGCAAGGCGAGGACAGAAAGGCTGTGCCGCCCTGCTACTTGACAGAGGAGCCAACATAAATCAGACAGACAAGAGCGGCCAAACACCTCTCCACAATGCAGCGGATAAAGGTCACCTCGAAATGATCAAAGCTCTACTGGACAACGGTGCAGAGATAAACCATAAAGATGAGACCGAGGAAACGTCACTGCATGTTACATCAAATAAAGGGCATCCGGATATTCTGAGATACCTCTTAGCTCATGGAGCTAAACCTGACATCCAAAACAGCGATGGCCACACCGCTCTTGACTGCGCCAGTGATGATCATATTCGACGAATCCTTTCAAGGTTAGCACTACAGATTTTCAATTCTAACATTGCATTTTAAAATATTTGCTTGTAGTTAATTTTTTCCTTTGGGAAAACAGTAAAAGGAGACCATATTTAAAATATTAATGGATTGTGACCTGATATATTAAACAGAATGTACGTCATATAGCAGTGTCGAAGAGAGAGAGAGAGAGTCCCCATCTGTTGAGGACTCACAGGCATCAGGGGAAGAAAGGTACAGGTTGTACCAACTGCATAACGTTCACATTTACCAGGCCAATGATTAGGGGTAGATGTGGTAGGGGGTTCTATCATCTTCTAAGGCGCATCTCCCCTTCTGCGTTTTTCCTTCTCTTTTATAATTTCCCCAGTATTTTTCCATTCGATTGCATGAGGCGGAGGGGCCATTATTGTCTATGGTAATGTATTACTACTTATCATCAAGAATGGAATATTTAGTAAAATAATGAACCTAAATTTTCGTATTTACTTCATTTGTCTTCTATTTTTTCAGATTTCAAAAAGATGGAGTCATCCTTGACAGTGAAGATGATTTCCTTTTTGACAGTGGATTCGAGGACGATGAGTCCGGTGGTGAACCAACCCAAGATGAGTTGTATAACATAGCAAACACTGTTGGAAGCGTTTTGGACCTCTGGGAACTCTGCAAGGAACTCAGAATGGAAGACGACACCATAGCCAAAGCACTTCCTGTCGTCGTACACTACACTAGCCTTGCTCTTCAAATCTTGAAATCATGGTCTCAGGAAAAACCGGGAAATGAAAAAGCAAAGAAGAAAATTCTGAAGACAATTCCAGAATATCAACGTATTCGATCAGGGAAAAGTACATTGCAGATATATACTGTATTTAAAAATTCTCTTTTATCATGGTGATGGGCTATGGCATTATGTATACAATCAGCCTTTGCCATAAATGATTAAAAAATAGGCTGTGATAAAAACTTAATAACACTTTTACGTTTGTAATGATTATTTTTAAACCCAGCTAAAACGTAACCAGACGAAAATAACTGTCTCTTTGCATTTGCAATTATAAAAGTGTTTAAGACCATCTTATAGCTTTAGACGATTAGCTTAGGGCTAGTTATGGGATAACGTTTATGACACTCAGGGGAAATCTGAAAAATTGATGAATAACACCTTCTCTTTTTGTTTTCTTTTTTCTGTTGGTCTATCTACCACTCTGTCTATATCCTTTTGCTTCTCTTCCGATCTCTCCTGTCTGTGTGTATATTTTGAGTGTGCGTCTCTGTCTCTATAAATTATCATTGATTTTGCAGCAAAGAAGTACGATGTCCTTCTCGAGCAACTGTCTACGGAGATATACACTATGCCCATATTGCTCAATATGGCGTCGAAGTTGGAATACCGAGCAAAGGATGTCATTTGTCAGATTGAACAAAGCTCAGCACCACCAACAAAACAAAGGCTACAGAATGCTGCAATCGAGCTACTTTCAAAGTGGGTGGAGAAAGGAGGGAAACGAGATGAACTCCTCCGTGCTCTTCAAGCGAGGCATCTTACCGAACCGGCAGAAGTAGTCTCGACTGGTAAAGTTTTCTTCATCTCAAAAATGTACTAACAAATGCTAAGTTCTACATGTGAAAGTATTCAAGCTGATACACAGATGCTTATAAGTTACAAAGGTTTTTTTTTCTTCTGTGGAAGCTTTTTCATAAAACACTTCGTTTTGTTTTAACAGTCCTCTAAATATCTTATAAAACAGAATGTGACTTGACTTGCTCCCCATAATGAAAACCATGGTAGCAAACTTACATCTGTTGTAATTAATACCATGATGGTAACTTTTACAAAAGTCTCGATATATGTCAACGACCCACGTTTTGTAACTTATGGTACATTGAATCCGAAGTATTTTTTGTCCTAATACATCACTTTATCATAACATGACCTTCATATTATACAGAAACATATATTGTGTGTGAATAGATCTAGAAGAACCTTGTACCTTGAAAAGGATCTTTGCTAGCTATCGTCCAAAATGTTCACATATGATGGTTTAAGATGTCAACACTTGATCATGTAGCTTGCCTTTGTATTTAGTTCTAAGAGATGGACTGGAAAACTGTATTAGATGTCACAATTACGTTCAGACGTTATGATTCCTTTTGTGTAAAATTCTTATTAATTTCAGTTCAAATTGCCTCCTTCTGGATTTCTCCGTACAGCAATTCAACAAGAACCTGGTCTAGCGGACTCGTTTACCTTTACGACGATTGACAACGAGGGAGGTGACATTCAACTCGGAGAAGGGGATATACAGCTGTCTCTTCCGCCCGGTGCACTTGGAGAAGAGACGTGTGAAGTTGTCACAGTCAAGGTTCCAAACCATGCGCCAGAAGTGACCTGTGATGAGGATGAAGTCCAGGCATCACCACCAGTCCTGTGCACTCCTTCTGGCTTGACCTTCGATGAGCCAGTCAAACTCACCTTCCCTCACTGCACGAGTTTAGACAAGATAACAGATGAAAGTGAAGTCATCCTTTACACCAGTCACGGAACAGGTTAATATGTTGTTTTGTTTAATACAAATGGAACATCGATGGCTAAATCCCATGTGACTGATAATGTTGGTTCTCCTAGGCATTCTGAAAAGATATTATAAGGTTCCCGAGACATTTTATGTCGAATAATTTCGCGTGATTTTTGACAACTTTCCTGATTACAGCGTCACGAGACTGTCAGTTTCGAGACCTATTGGTCTAGTAGGAAGTCACCCACAACCATTGTTATGATTGTGCAAATCAAATTTGTATTATTTGGTCAGAGATGACACATTACTTACTCGAGTATTGTCATCACATTCTACTTTTATTTACAGCCGATTACACTCAAGAAAAACTATCTCGAAAAGACTTCACCATTACAGATGACTCAGTCGTGGTGAATGTTCGTCACTTCTCATTGTTCAGGATCGGCATGAAAAAGATTGGAGGTGTGAAATTGGGGTTCTTGCCGCTTCACAAATTGGTTATGCCGCCGTCAAGAAAACCCATACTCCGTGTCATCTTCTATCACAAGTACAAAAGAAATGAATCGGTAAGAACAACACTAGTCCTCGAAACCCATTCCAGCTCAAACACTAGTTTTTTTTTCTTGCTTTTTTTATTTTCTTCTTCTTCAAATTCGGGTGTAACTAATAAAGATAGTATGAGGTTTAGTTTTCATTTTGTTAAGCGTGATTTTAGACTCAGTGTCGGGTTATTGGCCTGGGCTAGTAGAATACGGGCCAATGAGTTGATCCACGAATAAATATCATATGGATGTAACAAACCAGGTCGGAGTCAGCATTCCCTAATGCCTATATTAAGCAGATCCACAAATAGATGGATTCAAGTTTGCCCATTTTAGAATGATTTTTTTTTCTCCCATGAAAATTCTACAATAAAGATGCTCCACGAACATGATATATAGGATAATCCACTTTGGAATGAATAGTTAAACAAGTTCTTGTATTTCAGTTAATTCTATGTCTGTGCATGTGATGGTTACCATACTTTAATGGGCACACTCCATACTTGTACCTCACTGGATACTACTGTACAAAGTGATCTTTATGAGCTCATGCGTAGATCTACATAATGAAGATTGGGATTCCAAAATATGTACGGTACGGTTAATAAAAACCAAGTTCTGAAATGAAACGCACTAAGATTTTAACACTCTATATTTTTCTATTTGTATATAATTTGTAAATAAATGGTGTCCTTTTTATTTATAAATAGTTAGACAGTTCTATCAAACAAATATCCATTTTCCCAAAAATTATTTTAGTTAAATAAGATATGGATCATTCATATACAGCTTGTCCTCTTTCTCCTTATATACAAGAAAATTTATAAGGAGTATGAGCAGCTGAACCAAGAATTCTGCAAAGCGGCACCCCCTACCGAAGTGTTAATGAACACGCTGAACGAGGACCTCACGATCGTATGCTCGGATGGTAGAAAAGAAATCAACGGGAAGGTTCGTTCAAAACCATACGTTATATGTACCATATCATCTGAATAGGGTTTTCGTCAAAATTAGGTGTATATAGACAAAGATGTCCTGGCAGAGGTCTTCTGAAAATATATGTTACAAATATCGCCATTCTAATTTTATGAGATCAGTGGCAAGTGAAGAGACATATAATTTGTGTTATAGTATGATATGGAAAACAATTGGAAATAAAATACCTTTTTGTAATCTGTGATTCGTATAGATTACTCATACAAACCTGCGGGGAAAGAAATCAAACAGGACAGAATTTGAGTTGGATTTCTGCAAGGAGTACGGTTCAAAGAACATCAGAATAACTCTTTTTCAAGGGTCAAATGAACTGGAGTCTTCACTTTTTGATGTTCTGATGCAAGGTAATGAAATACTTATATCTTTCTATGACATTAGCTACATCATTACTCTGCAAAAAAAAAAAAAAATCGTCTTATTTTTTCTTCTCGCATTCCGGTATTTCGTATTTCGCCAGTAGTTGCAAAGCAAACACGACTAAAGAAAAAGAAATCAAAAATCCACCTCTGGAGTTTTTTTTTTAAACGCCTGCCGAAGTTTCACCGATTTTATGTGAAATCAAATTTCGGTGAGATACTGGTTTTTCGTCAATGACTCTCCTTGCTTCCGCGCTAACGCATGCAGGGCTCCGACGAGTCGCTCATGCGCACTGCTCATGAGCAAACGTCGACGGTTTCATGGGTTTTTTCAGTAGGGTAAATGGTAGTCACATTCAAACGATTTTTTCAAAGTGGTCTTTTGAATGCGTAAATGGGCCTCATGAGTATCTTAATTCTTAGGGAGTAATTACAAGTGCTGTTAAAAGTCAAATACTAATAAACATCATGTAAATGTTTATTTACATGTAATTCAGCAACAATTCTCATCTTGGAAAATATCAATTGCATAGTTTTGCATGTTTACCTTTTTCAGTAAAGTTGAAATAAATCTTGTGTTCACATTTCGTTTCAAACAAATCATATCTTGTAATATATCATGACTAAATAGATATATAGCACATCTAATTAATGCAATGCGATTCTTATCAACTCATGAGTAATCATTTCTCCTTACTTTACGTTGTAGAACCTGAGCCCACCATACCCCAGCAGGTTGCTCCCGAGTAAGTATTTCAAAGACTATATGTTCAATCCGTTGGTTTTGTTGGGTACATGATTTATTTGGCAGTCGTCGCCATTCGGTATAAAATGTTCCCTTTTATAACTGCATCAGACTAATTAAGTGACAATGCAGCCTTCCACAACAAATATTGGTGTTAGGTTTACATGGAAACATGGAACAATTTTGTTGTAATTGTTCAGCCTCTGGGGTGCGTACATATTTCATCGAGAATCATTTAAAAAAAAAAAAAAAAATTGTAATACCTTTGATATTTCAAACAAAACAGAGATATTACGATAAATGGCACCCTGCGCAGTAAACGTTTACCTTTCGGATTTGCACACCCATGCCAAACATATCAGTTATTCCTTGATATACACGTGGATATTTAGGCTTTAAAATCGCCATTGCAACATATTAGGATTAAGTCTAAGTTACGGTTGAAAAAACTCGTGAAACAGTTTCCAGGAGCAAGTTGAAAAAATACATTGAAAAGTTTTAAGTCTGAAGTGATTTATTATTCAATAAATGGTAAATCATGATACTCTAGTCACTGTGATGTTTGCATCCCACTATTATGACATAAACACTGTAATCTTGCTATTCGTTTATGTCATTTAGCTCTACAATCTTTGTGTAGGATATGACTACTTGTGTGTGAACATCATACCATCATTCCCCTTTTGGGATACAGACAACACCACGTTAAAATAGGGGAAATATTTGTGTAAGGAAAATGGTGCTTTCGAGTGGTTGACCAGTGACAGACGGAAACGTACAACAATGCCTGAAATTGAGTAATAAAAATAACTGTCTTGTTCGATGTTATCGCTTGTAAAAATTATACAGGAGTAGAGGGAGCCCGACCAAACGCAAGGAGCATTATTTTATTCTAAAGAATCTGTTTTAAATACTTGTAAGCGCATATTTGTTTGGGATTATATATGTTTAAAGATTGATATACTGGTTGGTAATTTTTTTTCTTTCTTTTTTATTTTTCTTCACCCTTTATCATTTAAAGTCCTTCCTTAACGAGATCTTTTGAGGGCTGTGGGACAACTCAAGAGGAAAACTTGAAATTGGTGGAACTATCGGAAGAGATCCCTCATACTTCAGTATTCAAGTTAAGCCTGAAATTGGGATTTTCAAACGCTAAGGCAATGCGATTTGTTGATACAAATACGAGAGGCGCAGTAGTTGGTACCATGGGCACTCTCCAGATGCTACATGAGTGGCTGAAGAAAACAGAACCACAGTTGCGAAATGAAACTCTAGAGCAGGCTCTAATGTATTGCGAATTGGCAGAAGTTGCCGAAATAGAAGTATTCACATATGTACCGGTTGATGTACATGAAGAAGATGAGGCCGAACAGTCTACATCCACGCGGCTGGTACAGAAACCTGGTTTTGAAGGATCAACGTCATCAGGTTTGGGAATGGTCTCATTCAAGAACAGGCATTACCGACTCGACCGCACTACTAAGAGTCAGAGAGACATAAACGGTCGCTTCTCACTTACAAATTGAAATTACTCACAATATGTCGTACAATTTACCGGTGAGGTCCGGTTTAGTACTGCACAAAATGTTTTTATGATGTATTGTAGGTTGTCATACCAACGTTTATACATTGTACATATGTATACAAACAGGTTCATTTTACTATGTTTGCACTCCATCCTGTCTGAACACCGTTTTTTACGAATTATTTTCCATACTTCTTATATGGTTTCTCAATGAACACAATGCGTATGTAATTCGATGACATTATTCACTCCTTGTGTTGTAATAAAATTGCATTAAATACTCATTTTGTTTAATTACCTTTGAAAATCGAATGGGATATGACATGGCTTTGTATATAGACTAATTTAATAAACTTCTACTTTCATGAATACTAAAAATACATAATTTTCCAGATATGAGGTAGGCTATATTTACAAATAGCCATTGATAAAACAATACATAGATGCTTCCTCAGCACCTGCTTCCCCTATATCTTAATGGCTCGCTGATTATACCAGAAACATCGCCAATCTTCACCGACATCATTTACCATTAAGTACACGTATACCTATTATTGACTTTAACAACAAATTCAGTTATTCAGTGTTTGATTTACTTAAATGGTACGTTTGTATTGTTTACGTAGTGGTGCAGGGTGATGGCTTTAGAGGATTCTAGTTTCTTTCTACAAAATTAATGTTCATACTGATGCAATTCATCAGATTATTGATATATTGTTTACGGCTACATTATAACGTGCTCAAGCAATTGCAGTTGTGTCTCGGTATGTTTGTCATTCAATATATGTATTGTTTATGTATTGTTTAAACAGGGGATTTTTAATGGAAGTTGGTAGTTTCGCTCATGATCGGGTTTACGATCCGTAAACCTTTCTTTAGTTTTTATATAGTTTGACAGTGGCGGATCCAAGTGTGGAAAAAAGTGTAAAAACACGTTAATTGTACCCTTTTTGGAGATGCCCCCATCCACCCCCTGGCGCTCAAGGGGGGGGGGGCGATTTTCAAGGGCCAAAACAGAAAAAAATTGTGCTCACTACAACTTTTCACAATACGCACATGAAACAGAAAATCATGTCCGTGATGTTGATCTTCCTGTTACTACATTGACATGTTTCTCCTTTGTATGTGTAGAAGGTAAATAACGTTAATATTGTATATTAATTATTTATGTGCACTGCACACTCACGTGTCTTTAACTTATTATTCCCAGTGTGTATATCTACTCTGTTGTGCTAGCTAGACCAACTATACTCAATAGTTTACAGTACTAAAATATGTTTACAGTATATGTACAGTCCATTTTATAGGCCATTATTGCAGTCACCATCATTCTATTAATGGTTTGTGATATAACTAGGTTGATTTGTGTGATTTAGGTTGTTTAGCCTTAAGAAACATAGTGGTTCCATGTATATGACTGTTGATAGTACCAAGAAGGTAGTAATTATGGTAGTGTTGTATTTTGTGGTGTTAAGGATGCTATGCCAATATAAATTCCTGTACAGCATGGTGTGCAGTTGATATGTGTAATATGGAGTTTATTGCTTTAATTTATCAAATGTCAATTCTAAACTCTGAATGATGTCACTTATGTACATGAATGGTGTATAATCCATAATAATAGCATCAACTTGCCTTTTATTTGTTACCATTGCTTAAGACTATTACCCAACTAATCAATCATGCGTTTAGATTACCTATACATGTTGTCTAACCGTTACAAGTGTTTTAGTCGAAAAGTTACACCGCTCATATATTTAGCCACTATATAGATTCTGTTTAGGGCCCATACATTCAGTAGGTAATTGGCTGTATGTTCCAAAGTGTAAAAGAGATTTTCCAAGTGTTGAATAAGTAAAAAATTTAGAACCCTCTCTTTATAATAGCAGTTATATAGAATGGAAAAGAGAGACTTATCAAAAATAACAGGGGAACTTAATTGAAAGAAGCATTTATTAAAAAAGGAAAAGGGGCACTGATCAGAAGGAAAAGGGGCACTTAGATATATATAACATATATCCATGTCACTCTCTAAATATGAGATGTTGAGTCAGTCTCATATTCACCAATTTTACATTTGTATAGACTGAGGTTAAAAGCTAAGAGCATAGCGTTTTATATATTGTTCAGATAACTGTACTTTGATTCTTTATAAGATTGAAAATGTTATTACTGTCACGTTTCTAATTGTTCTAATTCGTCTATTTGCCCTCTCTTTCCATATTCAGGATAAACCAATAGCACTTAGAGATTCTGTTTAAAACAACTAAGATGACACAATACCAATCAAGTCGAAAGTCTTATGGAAAAATTATAAGAGGGCAAACCTTGGTTATCATATATACACAAAGTTTATAATCCCTATATGTTCGTTTGCACAACAAAGGTAGACAACAATTAAGGTTCAGAAATTTGGTATTTTTTAAAAGACAATGATTAAGGTTTTGAAAATATTCTAAATACATTACTGTTGAAAGAGTTAAAATTAGACTCATTCCCTACTTGTATTTGTCACAATAACTATTTGTTTCTCTAGTCTCTTCTCCATATATATTCATTTCACATCATTTGCAAATTCATTTCGTCCATTCATCTCCACCACATACCAACTCTTAAAGCTAGAACAGGTGATAAGTTCTCTTCTCATTTACATATTTCCACTTCTATCAATGGTTCTCTTCTCCTTTTTCTTATGAATATTCAGTTTTATTCTTAGATCCTATTTTGCTATTGGTTGATAATGTATTTTTCATTTGAATATAATCTACATAAAGCACATGTACAGCCTGATAGAATAAAACTCATGCAGAGCTGGACTGGACTTACACTGTGTTAGAGGTATTAATTTAGAGCTCCGTTGGCATGATAAGTTAGAGACTTAGGAGAGAGGATTTGTGAGTTTTGGCAGTGGTTTGTATGATTGGTGTTTAATTCAGTGATTGATTGGCAAGAGATTATTTTATTAGTTTACACTGTTAAAAAGGTGACAGCAAACATAAGCAAAATGAAAACCGACAGAAATGGCAAATCGGCGCTTCCAGATTAGATTCATTACATCTAGACCTGTATATAATTATGCACTTTATCTATCTCCAGAAGATACAAACTATTTTGTCATAAAATTATCGTATTTTTATATCGGAGCGTTTGGTAGTGCAAAAATTACGCCCTCCCCCTAAAGAATTCTTAATCATCTGATACGTAGATTATTTTATCTAAAGCTTAATAACTGTACAAATAATAGTGTTCAATATTCCGAGGTTAATAATTCCGAAAATGAAATAGAATTCACGGTTCTGCAAATTAAACAGGGGTCATAATTCCGCGTAAAATTCATCATTATTTTCCTTTCTCCTCCTCCTCTTCTTCTTCTTCTTCTTCTTCTCATCCTTCCTTTTCTTCTTGTACTTATTATCATTTTTATCATCAGTTTAATGTTGTTATTATTATTATTATCTTTAATAAGTAATTCTTTTATTTTTGTTATCTGTCTGTAAATATTACTATTTTAACTTATTACTTTTTATACATGTCTTTAATGGACCCCACTGGACATAAGCTCTCGAGCTTTCGTGGGTTATCCTGCTCAAGCTGAATTATTTTTTATCTGTTATTATTGTATATTGTTGTATGTTGGAAGCTTGTCGAATAAAAATCAATCAATCAATCAATCATTTAAAGGAAAGTTTAACAGGAGTTAAGTAAGATTAACAGTTATTCGAAATCTGAGGATATTTTACAATTAGGGCAATCATTCCAATTAATCTATGTTTTATATATTAATACTAATAATTAGCTTTGTTTAATTGTCGTCAAATCCAATAAGACTGTACATTATTACTGGTTAGATATCAGTTTAATAGTGATTTAATCATAATATTAGTGGTCAAATAAGTATATTGATAATTCGACACGACTAAAGATAATTGGTCGTTTCATACAAACGTTGTCTATGTCAGAACGAACATTAAATATATCCTTTTCATCTTTATTCTCATGTAGTATACCTTTAAGGAATCAAGGCAAACATAAATGGGTGATCCGTATTTACAAGCTTGTATATTCAAATCTTATCTCCACGAGTCAGACTAGTTCATGACAAAATGTCAGAAAGCTCCGCACTCAAAAATGATTAACAAATATTGATACAAATAATATGCTGTGTATACCCGATTGTTTAAATAGATAACTTAAAGCAAACAAGTCAAAGTCATTAATCCTTATCTTAATTGATTTGAAATTTGGCTGGGCACTTTTTTCTCAACTAAAACAAAAAGGCCAATATAAGTCAGGATTGTGTGCTACGTGGCCAATCAAGATAATTATGAGGTATCTTTTGTTCGTTAAACTCCCATTTATTTTGTCAATGACTCGCACTTCATTTTGTCCAGGTGTTTGTCATGTCGATGGCACTGGTCACCCTCTCAAAGTGACTCATTGTTAATGATTAATTGAAATAATTAGTAATAACAAACTTAGCTGTCTTACATGATAACCTACATACATGATTAACGATTTTGAATTTTAAAATAAATTAACTTTTCAATAAAAATAAAAATCCTTTTTGCAAACTAATAACTTCAAACCACTGTTACAACAAAACAGAAAAGCAAGTTTGGATCAAAGGTAGGAGACAAACGATGTATAACTTTCAGGAGGGAGAGAGGTGGAATTTCATTCCCAGTCCAAAGAAAATTTGTGGATTTTCAGACTATAGAACATCGAAATTGTACGAAACAACTGAATTAGAGTTAATTAGAGGGTCTCATATCCCAATACAGAAACAGTGAGCCTTTTCAACTATTCTGTCAGTTGCATTTCTCAAGCGAACGAAGATAAAAGGTCTATGAACATAATGGCCCGAATTCACAAAGCAAGGTTTGAGCTCAGACCAAGGTTTGAGGTCAAACCTCCTTTTGTTTCGCCAAACCTCCTTTTGTTATTTACAAACTGGTTTGAGGTCAAACCTCCTTTTGTTTCGCCAAACCTCCTTTTGTTATTTACAAACCTGGTTTGTAAATAACAAAAGGAGGTTTGGCGAAACAAAAGGAGGTTTGACCTCAAACCTTGCTTTGTGAATTCGGGCCAATGTGAGCTGTCGATCTCTTGTTTTAGTAGCCCAAGGAAAATTACACCCCTTTAAATGTATAGAATATTACGAATCTGTTCCTTCATCGGCATCCATGAAAACAAAGCGAGTATTCCAATTCAATTCCATTTAATTCTTTTTATTCATCCAAATTTAAAAGGATAAATGGAAATTTGTGTTGGTCACACATTGTACAAATACATATATGAGAAACTATATCGTTGTGTTTATAGTCATAGAAGAACCATCAAAATAACAAAATCTTATATTC